CGTAGTAAAATTTGTTTTTTCATCTCTGCCTTTTGATATATATATATATATATATATATATATATATATATATATATATATATATATATATATTAATTGATTTAAAATATGTATAACCTCGAATTTAATTTTATAATTATATTAAAGACATTAGTTCCATTTCATCCTCAAGAAAAAAATTCGCTTGAGGATGAAATGGAACTAATGTTTTTAATTTAATTACAAAATTAAATTCGGAGCTTTCAGCTTCCATTTTTGAAACAGGGTTAGAACTGAGTAGCGAAGAAAAACATATTTTAAATCAATTAATTTATAATATTAATGCTCTGTGAATTTACATTGAGCACTATTTTGTAAAAATAAAAATATCTATAATAACACCGGATTATATATCTTAGTGTTCTTTCTTTATATATATATATATATATATATATATATATATATATATTACATAACATAGAAAACCCAAATCACCTCATGACTATAGACTATTTCAACTAACGTCAAGGCATTTGCCTTGTTTAACTCTAATGCTGAACTGTAGTCAATGTTGGAACTAGAAAATTAAAATTAAATATTAAAAAAAAAACATTTGAAAAAATTGATATATAGCCAACCCATAATATAGCAGATAACACAAAGTGTCCGAGTGGTAGTAAATGGAGGGCAGATTTTGTATTGCTTAAATTGGAAGAAACTACACAAATTCAACCCAAATATTAACCATAACGCCCCAACTTGCGGTCATAAGAAAGATAAAGAGACTAAATGAAGGCCGAAAAAAGATGTTATATAATATGAAAATATTATTTTTTTAATGATATCACAAAGCAAAAATTTGTTATCACTCAAGATTAACATTTTGTTTTGTGATATTAGTAATAAATAATTATTTCATTTGTGGTTACAAATAAAATATAACATTAGCAATTGTTTTTAGATAGTTTATATTTAGAAAAATATTTTTTTTATTTTAAATATTAAGAAAATTAGAAAAACATTATAAAATATACATTTAAAAAAATTATAAAAAATATTATTAAAATTTATTAAATATTAAAATATATATATATACACATACGAATTATATATATATATATATATATATATATATATATATATATATATATTATAATAAATAGAAGGAACAGTAAGGTATATAATATGGTGTTATTAATATTCTTATTTTTACAAAACAGTGCTCAATGCAAATCTACCGAGCATAAACTTTATAAATTTACTTAAAAAATATGGTTCCATCGTTACACAGGAATTACCATGTTTCAAAAACTGAAGCTAAAATCTTCAAATTCAGTTATAGAATAAAATTAAATTTAAGTCACTTGTTCTGCTTCATTTTCAAGCGAATTTTGGAATAACTTATTTTGAAATTTACTGAGTTATATAAGCACCTACATTCATACTTTTAGTTTTCTATGGCTATGGGGAAAAAACCAATCATTTTAACAGTGGGTGTGGTAGGGTAAACATTTTCACTGACAACTATTGTATCTAGATATTAGTTACTTTCGAAAAGAGCTTAACTCAATGTAGGGTCGTGTTGCCTTTTTCAAACGAATGATGATATCCGTCCAATGCATGACGTCTGATCTTTTTCAACGGTTTTTCGGCACTACAAAGAATTGGTTCCGATTGCATATTTTGCTGGCTATATATTGGCATTGATTTTCCGACAATCTGACATCGATCTGAAATCCGAGAATTTCAAATTAATTCAAATATACGCGTATCTTATAAGAGGAATCATAAGGTAAAGCGGTTCCACAAAGGTTGTCTGCATAGTGAAGAATATATCTCAAATATTTCGTAAGTATCGTTGTTGTTGTAGTTGTTATTTCATAAGATCGCCATTTACCAGTTCACTATATTTTCTAAGAAAACAGCCATTGCCTTTTCTTCTTCTTTATAGAAGGGCGTAGAAATCGGTGAACCAGAAGTTGCTTGTGATTGAACTATAAATGCCTAAGGAGTTCATTTGTCGTAGTGGGTTAAGATAAAGTGCCGTTATGAGAATAGTTTTAGCTGACGGCAGGCACACAAATCGATATCTGATGAATATCGATTGTCTCGTCGTGTTGAAAGGTATGATGTCGTAATACCCGAAATCCATAAGGATCCCCCGGTTAAAAAGGTCACTGATGATATATACCAGAGAATCTGAGAGATGTAATTCGCGAAAATATTATTATTATTATTATTATTATTATTATTATTATTATTATTATTTTCTTTGATTTCTGGCGTTTACACATTTCTTTCCAGGTCCCGCCCAGGGACCTAAGTTTAGAAATGGCATCATGACACTCTCGACTGACAAAAAAAAATAAGAAAAATATTACATAGATAAAGCCCTTCGTAAAGTGTGGGCTGTACTTGTCAGAACAATTTTTTGTATCTCCTTGAGGCATGGACTTCCAGTAATTCCTTCAGTTAGTCTACTGTAATCTTTTCCAACCAGTCCTAGGGCTCCAACTACAAC